CTGTGCCCGTCCAGCGGCCCCGAGGCTCGCCCCAGATTCTGCGTCTGCCCATGTCGGCCCTGGCCAACTCTGGCCTGTCCTTGAGGGGAGCCTCCACCACGGGGGCCGGCACCAGGCTGGTACTGGTGGGCGGGAACAGCGGCGGTCAAGCGGGCAGCGTGGCGGGCTCTGGCTCTGGGGGCACCACCAACAAGGTGATCATGGTTCGCTCCCAGGGAGGCAGTATGAGCAACATGTCTCCCCAGCAGCTGCTTCAGCTACTGCAGGTACGTAGGCACGCAGGCACGCACACTCACAGGGGGGACTGTCACAAGTGGGTGGTGGGTGGCTGCTATTTTTCTTTCCTCTCCAACATGTTTTGTACTTATCTCTCCTCTCAAACATGTTTTGTACTTATCTCTCCTCTCCAACATGTTTTGTACTTATCTCTCCTCTCCAACATGTTTTGTACTTATCTCTCCTCTCCAACATGTTTTGTACTTATCTCTCCTCTCACACATGTTTTGTACTTATCTCTCCTCTCCAACATGTTTTGTACTTATCTCTCCTCTCAAACATGTTTTGTACTTATCTCTCCTCTCCAACATGTTTTGTACTTATCTCTCCTCTCAAACATGTTTTGTACTTATCTCTCCTCCTCCTTTTCTTTGTCTACATCTCTCTAGTGTTACACATCTAACCTTCTGCACTTAGATGACCTCTTGTTATGCAAGTACCATAAAATTGACTAAATCTAAAGGGACTGTTGAATTTGTCGTAGACGGCCGCCCATTGTCAAGGAGAAAAATGGTTGGCTTAGATAGGTGGATGTTTTAAACAGTGTTTAGGATATAGTCAAATAACAAGAGTGGGATTGGGAAGTGATTCTTTGTAGAGATGATTGTCTTGGACAAGGTTTTCACTGTGATAATGGCTTGCTGTCTTGGACAAATGTGACTGTCATAATGGATCAGAGGTGATAGTTCCTTCAGGCTTGGGTACAGGTTTGAAAATCATGACATTTTGGTGCAGTAAAAAGGCTTGCTAGATTTGATGGGTTTTATTTTTAAAATAAATTAGAAATGTAGATTGGTTTTTTAAAATCAGTTGTTGACTTCAATATATCTGAGAGAGTTACATGCATGTTTAAAACTCTTGAAAAATGTGGTTACTCGAGAGATTTATTTAATTTCGTTGCTTTAGATTGATTTTTTTTTGTGGTGTGTTTTTTTATTTGCCAGCGACGGTTTATCGTTCTCTTGCTTGAAAGGAGGGCGCCACTGTTAAATCCTACTTTTTTTTCTCTCTCTGTTGTTTCTGTCCGTCTGTTTTACTTCTTCCCTGCAATATATGACCGTTGTTGTGTGGATGTGCTTCTCTTAACTCAAATTGTATGTCCACAGCGAACAGGAGCCATTAGTCAGTCTGGAGGTGTCCGGGTCACGACCACGCTGGGCAACGGTAGTCAGGTGTCGGCTGTGACCCAAGAGAGCGACACTTCGGTGGGGACGGGCGTGGAGGAAGGCGCCTCTGCCGATGTTGCTGGCACGCAGACCACTTTGGAGCATGAGAGCACCGAGTCAGCAACAGAACCTCTGGGCGAGTCGGGCGGTGCCGACAGCCTGATGGACGTCTCGGAGGGGAATCAGACGGCAGGGGAGGCTGATACATCGGCTTATTTAAACACAACGCTACCCTCGGCGGGGTCAGAAAACGCGACAGAAGCAACCACCATCTCATCCACCTCCACTTCTTCGGAAAATCCCATCGTCTTATCTCCGGAGCCGCCTGTGACAAGTTCTGTGAGTGCTGTCGATGTGGCCGGCGAGCCGCAGCAGCAGTCAGCAGCTACCGTTGCTGCTGCCGCGGGGAATGTGAAAACGCTGACCCTGAGTGAAGGTCAGGCCAGTTCTGGTGGCGCCCGCTACATTTCCATCCCCAACCCCAACGGCAAGGGCAGCATTCTCACCCAGCTGGTGTTGAAAGGCGGCAAAATGGTTCTAGTCCCTGTCACCAAGAACGTTCCCGCACAGGAAGCGGGCTCGTCGGTTCTCCGGATCCCCGGCTCCACAGCCGCGGGTTCCCCTACCGTGTCCATCCGTGTCCCGGGCGGTTCGAGCCAGTCCTCCCTGGCGTCTCTGGTCACCTCGGCCATCTCGTCTTCGGCCACGAGCACGCCTCAGGCTGTGCAGCAGTCCCCCACGGTGAGCATGCTGACCTCACAGACGCCGTTCGCCACGCTCGCCGCCACCACCGCGTCTGTCAGCACGTCCACGGCTAGCACGCCGGGTGTCCGCTATGTGTCTATCCCGGGCAGCAGCGGCAGCAAGAGGACCATCCAGCTGATCAGTGTACCGCGGGGGGCGCCCGGTGCCGGGGGTACCTCCTCTTCTGTGCTCGGGGGCTCGCAGGCCGGCAGCCAGAAGACAATTATCGTGAGTCCCAGCGGGGTGCAGTCTTCCACCTCCCCGGCCACCTACGTCACGCGGCTGGTCACCTCGGCCGACACAGCGCAGCAGCAGCCGGGGAGCGACGAACAGCCGCAGCAGCAGATGGTGAGCTCGCAGCAGGGCAACATTGTGATCCGTGAGCTGAAGAGTGACGGCACCACCACCACCACCACCACCCTCCCGCCGCCCACAATGGCCGACTCGGGGGCTCAGACCCCCACGGTGCTCCGCCAGGTGAGAGATGGGCTGGTGGCAAATCCCGGTGCTTTCTTGTCCTATCTCCATTTTTAATAACCGTGAAAAACAGTTCAGAACAGAGTGAGCTTAAAGAAGAAGACAAATTTTCACTGTTTAATAAAAATGGAGATACAACAAGAAAGCACTGAGGTCACGAGATTCTAGAACTAAATGGCAGAGTGGTCTTTGTGTGTACAGCTGGCCCCATTCGACTTTACCAGTCAACATTGATCATTTTTTTACTGTTTGCTATTTGAAGCGTGGCAGAGCCATTCGAATGCCGTGTGATTTTTAAAATATTTTTGAAAGGGAATGGATTTTTGTCTCATATTTTTCAAACCGTCATACAATTACAGCATATTATATCTAAAATTGAGATAAATACAGAAGTACTCTGTACTTGAAGGTTACGAGACAGGAGGGATAAGAGGAGCCAAGTTACGAAACATGCCTGTAAAGAGAGTATCCATTACGATTCAATAATCACCTGTCACATATTGAAGTGCTTTCTTTTCTCAAACTAAGCTTCCCCCTTGGATTGTGGGTGCTCTGGTGTGATTTGCTCTTTTTTTTCCTATGACACATCTATCGCCCTTTTCTCTACTCTTTTTTTTGTTTGTTGTACTCTCTTGTGATACCTCTTAATCTTCCCTCACTTTTAAGACCTAAGTGTGTTGCAAGTGCTGTAAAACTCTTTACTACCAGTGTCTGTGATGTAGAGAATTTTCGAAAGCAGGAAACCGAAGTACAATTCCCAAGTTTGAATTTTTATGATCTCAACAAGTCTTTCTGCTGGGGTGTTGTATCATTCCAAGTGCAGGTTGACCCTGACAGGCAGGGTCGGGACCCACCACCACCTAAAGGAATTTTTTTTGCTTAAACAATTCTTTCCTTGGCGCTTATATGACCTTATGCAGTTGCGAGCGCTGTAAAACCTTACTAAAACAAACATAAAACAAACCCTCTCCCCATACTGTGGGTGGTTTGCTGGTGCTCTGGTGTGGTTTGTTCCTTCTTTCCTATCAAACATCTGTCGTCTTTCTCTCTCCTCCTTTTTTTGTGTATGTTACTCTCTTTTAACACCTCTAATCTTCAGCTCTTATATGACCATATTGTGTTGCAAGTGCCGTAAATGGCACTAAAACTCTTTCCTTTGCGCTCATATGACCTTATGCAGTTGCGAGCGCTGTAAAACCTTACTAAAACAAATATAAAACTAGCAAACTCTCTCCACAAAGTGTTGGCTCAAATTAACTTCCCCCCCCCACCTTACAGGAGTTGCTGTCTGCCCCCGGGAGCTCCACAATCACCATCAGCCCGGAGAACGTGGTGAGCAGCCGAATCTCGTCCACGCCAGGAATCTCACTGCTCCGCGACGTGTCCCTGCGCTCGTCGCTGGGCTCGCCGGCCAACCAGGTCATCCTGACCTCGGCCTCCGGGGCCACCTCCATCCTGGCGCCCGTAGACTCGGCCACCGGCCAGCAGAAACAGGAGAGCTTCAGGTAGGTTCCTTTAGCAGACGTGCCTAGTTCAGTGCAGCCTCTCTATGACGACCTTCGATATGACATCTTCTGTATAGCGAGATTATTCCCAGGTAGCGATTTTTTCTTTTTATATGATTAGTAATTTTTGGTTACCTCTCTCTATGACGACATATTTTGTCTGGTCCCGATGATGTCACTATAGAGAGACTGCACTGTACTAGGAGACCTCCGTTTTTTTATATTTACACCACCCCCCCAATGAAAGCACACCAATCAGATGTGCTTCTTAAATCATTTAATTTGTTATCTTGAATTCTGTTTCCATCGGGTTTATGCAACTTATCGTAAATGACTTTGAATGTGCACATTTTTCATTTGCATTAGTTGCGTGGCTTATTGTAATTGATGAGAAACTATGTACAAGGAACATTTTCAGGGGAAATATCTTGTTTCATAAAAAAATAATCCACAAAAAACAGTAAAAACCACAGAGAAAAAAATCCAGTTGCAAGGTCACACAAAATTAACTACACAAACTTGATGACATCCGATGCCGAAGGACAAACCTGGTGTGTTCTTCAGGTTCTTTTTAGAGTGCCACACCCTAAAGCACTCTCCTTTGCACAGATGAAGTCTGTGGGGCCACACAGTACAAACATTTCTAGTGCGTTTGCCTTGTCCCGGTTTGCTGCAAACTCTGCAGTTCCTGTCTTGTCCTGCTGATTCCTGGTAAAGATTTGAAGGCGCAAGGCGTTCAGTGGGCTGAACCTCAAGAGTGGAGGTAGAAGGCTGGGAGGTTGGCTGCATGAGTCGGCTGGCCGATGAGGTTGTCCTTGAACTGAACCAGAGGCATTCGCTTGTAGGTGTTGTCTCGAGTACAAGTGAGGTTGAACAAGGTGCTTGAGTTGACTTTCCCTTTGATCAAGACCCACTGCAATCATGACAGCAAAAAAGTTGAGAAGTTCTGGTCGTGTGACATCTTCCATGCGGTGGAATGATGAGTGATGCTGCAAGGGAGTGCTGGCATTTTTCCTCTTCTTACCATAGTCCTTTATATTGTTGATAAGTATATCCAAAACTCTAGGTGTCAGAAGCGCAAATAAACAGTCCAGTTTGCATGACTGACTAGTGACCAGTTCGTTGTTTACACCATGCGACTGCTCTTGCGAATAGTGAAAAATGATTGCTGTGGTCCGGCTGTCCACCTTCCATTTCAGTGGTCCTCCTGTCCACCTTCCATTTCAGTGGTCCTCCTGTCCACCTTCCATTTCAGTGGTCCCGCTGTCCACCCTCTTCCATTTCAGTGGTCCTCCTGTCCACTCTCTTCCATCTCAGTGGTCCTCCTGTCCACCCTCTTCCATCTCAGTTGTCCCTCTGCTAACTGAGGCTGAGGTGCGGCTTCAGGTTGATTTTCAGCCACAAGTAGATTTAATTCATTCTGCAAATTGCATCTTTTGGGTCGGGACTGTCCCTTTCCCTTTCCTCCAGTGTTGGAGGTGTGAGTAGAGCGTGCTGTAGGCCTACACTTACTAGATCTAGAATTTCCAGCTCTTGGCCTTTGGTCATCAAAATCACTGTCCTCACTGTCACTGAGAGTACTAGAGACACTGTACTCGTCACTAGGTTTACTCTCGCATTGCGAGAACACTGAAGACATTCATTGTTTTCAAGCATTTCAACGGCCCGTGCAGCACAGAAACGTCTTGTCGGGCGTGTCCCTGGCGGTTCTGGGTCCATAGTAACGATAAACAATTCGTTTGACTCAAGAAAAAAAAGAAATTCTCGCTTCAGTCGTTGGAAATACCGCCTTTGTCAAAACAGACGCTATCGACTGACAACCCGGAAGTGTTTCGAGTCGACCTATAATAACTTGGACAGAATGCTGGACTGGAAAAGAATGTGTATTAGTCGAGCCGCATTTAAGTCAGGCCACGGCTTCTGGCCCGAGCTGCGTTTTGCGGCTGGAAGCAGCCGATGAGTTAAATGACCTTATTGTGTTGCAAGTGCCGTAAAACTCTTACTAAAACTAAAGGGTACATTGTGACCTATTTTCTCCACCTGTCCCTCTCGTTTTCCCCCCAGGTACATCTTGCCCGGCTCCAACAGTACTCAGACAATCCTGCAGACGTCTGGCCAGAGCGTGGGCAAGTCGTTCACCGCCCTGTCTTCCTCGGGCACCATCATCGGAGGTCAGCTGACCCCTGCGACCCCGTCTGCCGCAGTGGACCCCAACCTCCTGAGCCCGGCGGAACCCATGATGGTGGACAGCGCGGGCCAGACGGGCCCCACCATCAGCCTGTTGGCCCCGCAGCGACGAGCCAGCCAGGAGGTGGACAGCACAGAGTACATCCCACTGGGCACCAGGGGCAGGGGGAGAGGTCGCGGCCGGGGGAGAGGTCGCGGGGGGCGCATGCCTCGGGGCAGAGGTCGCCAGCAGCTGGTGTGGGGCAGTGGGAGCGACACAGAGTACAGCCCCTCCTCCTCCACGTCTGCCGCTACGACCTCCTCCTCCTCCTCCGCGGTACTTTCGGGGAGAGGAGGGAAAGCCAGCGCCGGTACACTGTCGGAGCTGCGGCAGATCGGGGCCCACGTGATCGAGTCGAGCAGCGAGGCGGTGGACGGCGTACCCGTTGTCTCCATCCCAGATTTCACAGACGCTGGCACCCAGGCAGAGTCTGTCAGCGCTGCCGAGTCGTTAGCGGCGGAAAATGCCGCGGCTGTCCTCAGCACGGCAACGACCAGTTCCGTGGAGGGCGGCCATCATCAGGCTGAGGGCGTGTCTCTTCTGGCCCAGCAGTCACTGCTCCAGGAGGGTAACCATGGCGACGACAGCGACGCCTCGGCCCAGAACCAGCAAGAAGGCCCGCGGGTCATCACTCAAAGTATTCCTTCCATCAAGGCCAACCACGGCTTTGACATCCTCACACAGGGCATCCTGGGCTCGGCAGCCAGCGGGCGCCAGGGCGTGGCTACCTCCCCCAAACCCAAGACAGGCCGCAGTCTCCTGACAGGCGCACCGGCCAAAATCTCGTCGTTAACCACGTCTGCCGGTCTGTCGGCCCTGACATCGGCGGCGTCAAAGACCCAGGCCAGCTTGTCCATGGGCCACTCGGTGAGCCAGGCGGAGATCGAGACTCTGATCCAAGCTGCCGAAGCTGCGGCAAAACCGGCCAAACTGGCATCGTCTGGTGCAGGGGAGTCAGCACAACCGTCGCAGGCTGTGTCTGGCGAGGAGGGGACGTCGGTGGAGGACCCAGATTCTGCTCTCGCGGGAGAGTTTGGATTGAGTCCACGAGCGGAGGATCAGTCAGAGCTGAACGTGCCCCAGCAGAGTGCTGACGAGCCTGAGCGTATGGACACGGAGGAGGAGGAGGAGAGAATCGTCAACGTGGACGAGTCGAAAGTGAGTGCGGCCGAGCGGTACCGCATGCCCACAGAACTGTTCCAGCCGGACGAGGAGTCTCCGGAGAAACCCGTGAGACAGGAAGAGCCCGTCGGCAAACTGGGCTCGGAACTGCCCATGAAGATTTTTCAGGAGTCTGAGGTGGGGCCGCAAGAGGAGGCGAGAGTGAGCGAGGATATTGTCGTCTCGCCGGGGGAAGATTTAGACCAGCTGAGCAGCCCCAAGCCGTCCGTGGTGCCAACAGAGAAGGTGAAGGAGGTGGGGGTGGGCAAAGATGTGGAAGATCTGGTGGACATTGAGTCAGCGGAGGAAGGCGTACTCAGTCCGGCGGTAGTAGAGGAGTCTGTGCCGGCTCCCAAGAAAAAGGGCGGGAGACGAGGCCGGCCAAAAGGTGGAGGGGCGAGGAGGAAGTCGAGGAGCATCAGCGCATCGGACAAAGGAGAAGACGGCGAGGAGCAAAGTAAACGGAAGGAGTCGGCAGCTGGGGCGCTCTCGCCTTCCAAACTTTCCCTGGGGGAGCAGATCTCCAAGATAGCGTACAGCATGAAGGCTGGCAAGGAGGCTGCAGGGGGTTCGAGTCCCGCAAAGAAGTCTCCTGTGAAGTCTGTGGGTGGGTTTGCCACTGACTTGCTCATGGAGACGGAGAGAGAAGAAGCGGAGGAACTCAGTAAACAGAATCTGCTACGGGAAGAACTCGGTGAAAAGACTCAAGTTGAGGAAGAGCAAGGTAAGGAGAACCCTCCGGAAGAAATTTGTGAAGAGAAGAAGGAAGTTGAGGAGGTGGTGGAGGAGAAAGTGGAAGATTCATCTGTACCAGAAGTGTGTTCCGACATTGTGGCCAAGGAGGAGAAAGAGGAGGAGGAGGAGAAGGCAGACACTTGTGTGTTGAAGCAGTCGGAGAGTATGGAGGTTGACGTGGTGATGGAGGAGGCAGAAGAAAGTGGCGAGGTGACAGACAGCAAGGAGGTGAGTGTTTTGAACAAAGTGCCTGCGACAGACTGGAGGAAGTGGGTCTACCTGCCGGCTGTGGTACCCTGCCCTAAGAGGAAAGTGGTGTGGTCGGAGGGTGGCCACGGGGAGGAAGGTGAAGAGGAGGAGGAGGAGGAAGAGTGTGCTTATTCGAGACCTTTTAATTACAGAGTTCTTTCCGGAAAACTCAGGAAAATGTGTCCTCGACACGCATCCTTGGGACCACGACAGGAGTCATTCACCACACCACCGATTGTGTTTGAGGCGTTTGACGCGAGGACAGACAAGAAGCCTGAAGACCCGCACGCTGTGGTTGTGCGTAGGTCGAGGAGGGCCCTGGAGAGGCCGCGGCGTGACCCGGCCAAAGACCCACGGGTCATCCCGCTAATGGCGGACAGCGATGCAGACCCGGCGTGTATTGGCGGCTCGGTGGTGAGCAGCGCCCTCATGGAGCGCGAGATGTTCTGTGGCGTGGTGGTGAAGGAGCGGCGGGATCTGGTGGACTGGACCTGTGGGGCCGACGAACTGGAGGAAGACGAGGAGGCGGACTCTGGGGTTGGGGACGAAGATTTCCGCAGGCACTACCAGCTGCAGTTGTTTACCGGCTTGTTCATCCAGGCCGGGGATTTCAGCTCTTTTCTGTCCGAGCCGGAGGATGGGGAGGAGGAGAAGGGGCAGGAGGGTGGGGATCTACATTCCGTGGAGGGTCAGGAAGACAGTAAGGTTGAGGAGCTGGCTTCTGTTGTCGGCGGTGAGGGTTCAAATCTGGTGAAGGAGGAGGGTGGGCAAGTTGATATTGGTGACAACGGTAGTCAGGAAGTCACAAAAGTCAAGGGTCGTAGAGGTCGCAAACGGAAGAAGAGAAGTGGAGGAGGAAGCATGGATTCTCCAGATGTATTACCCCTGAAGTGTGCCCGCTCCTCGCAAAGTTCAGAAGGCATGTCCTCCCCTGATATTTCTTCCCCGATGTCGGTGGACCCCCTCAGCAAACCACTGTCTGCCAACGGAGACAAAGACAGTGCCGCCAGCACGGCGCGGCTCAACGGAATCGACGGTGCCAAGTCTGTGACCTCCCCGACCCCCAGTGTCGAGCTGACCTCGCAGGGCTTGGATCCTCTGTCCCTGTCAACTGGCACGGGAGAGAACCCAGGTCAAGAGCCGTCTGCGTTTGCCTCCCCTGCGCGCCGCTCGGGCCGCACCCACATACCGTCCAAGAAAGTGCTGGACGCGCAAGAGGACGCGACACCCCGCAGTGGCTTGAAGGGACGCCGCGCCTCGCAGGCCAGCTCTGATGAGGAGCTCTCCGACTACAGCGCTGGGGGGGAGGCAGCCGCCGCCCTGAAGAAAGGGAAGAAGACTCCGCTGTCGCCGTTGTGACCCGCCGCAAAAGATTGAGTCATCTTGCAGTGTGCGGATATGAGTACGATGGTGCCACTTCATCCAGCTCGCCAACATAACATTTTTCTTTTGTGTCCCCATGCAGTGACTTGGACCTCCCCAGTTTCTGTGGCCTGTACTTGTTGACCTTTGATGTGGTGTGAAGTGACAGCCTGACATGAGGAGCGCAGTGTTGGTGACAGCTCGGCTGACTTCACCACCTGAGCGCAGTGTTGGTGACAGCTCGGCTGACTTCACCACCTGAGCGCAGTGTTGGTGACAGCTCGGCTGACTTCACCATCTGAGCGCAGTGTTGGTGACAGCTCGGCTGACTTCACCACCTGAGCGTGTTGATCTTGTCATGTGTGCATCGTGAGAGACACCAAGTCACAAAACCAGCCATCAGCCTTGTTGAATTTTGTTGTGGGGGGGTGGGGGGATGTTTGCAACAACAAAAGGTTTGGGGGGGTGGGGGGTTACATTATTCCATTTACACTTCAAGACCAGGATTTCTTGTATCATAGACTGATCCATAGCCCATGTGTATTTGTGTTAGTTTTTTTGTTGTTGTTGACTTGCTACAGCTGTGAATGCAGTGTGTCTACGTATGTTGGGAATCCTGTCTGTTCTTGTAACACTGCTGCTGTATCAACGGTTTGTTTGTAGTAGTATGGTCATGTTGTACCACCACAAATTAGTGGAGTGGTTGGTTTTTTTTCTTTATATGTTGTTGTTCATATTGTGATTTGAAATGGCCACCAAGTTTTGTCGCATTTTATCAATCATGTCAGAGGGTGAGTTCATTCCTTTGTGATCCCACGCAGGCTCGCAGAAATAAATAACCCAATCTGTTGATTATCTCGTCAAAAACTGAGCAGACTTGTGCTCTTTCTCTCCCCATCCCTCCCTCCACAAGCAATTTTGTCCCCATAACTTGGTCTCTCGCCTGGCCTTTCACTGGTTATGTTTTGATTTCTGCATTGGGAATGATCGTGTGCGGGCATTTTGTATAGATACGACACACTGCCCGGGGGGGGGGGGGCGCAATTGTTGGAGCTTGATCAGCCTCTTTATTATAGCAGTTAATTTATTTGTAAGTTGACAAATTTTCCTTGCTAATGTTCTAATGTATAAGTATGCTTTGATTGAGGACAGCGATTTCCTGCATTCAGTGGGTGGATGTGAAATGTTGATCTGTAAATGCAACTACAAACAGAATGTGTGGAATGCCAAATGTTGAATGTGTGGAATGCCAAATGTTGAATGTGTGGAATGCCAAATGTTGAATGTGTGGAGTGTGAAATGTTGAATGTGTGGAATGCCAAATGTTGAATGTGTGGAGTGTGAAATGTTGAGCTGTAAATGCAACTACAAATGAAATGTGCACAGTAAATTATACGCTGTAGTGACCTCTTGCAATAGAAACCACCCAGACTTTTCTGTGGTTCCCTCATTGTGTATAGCTCTACTCATCGGCCATCGTAATCATTTTGCTAAAGATGACATTGTCATATTGTGTGAGAATCTGTCCCTGCTTTAGTCTCATGATTAGCAAGAAAAATCTAGAGGCTGGCCTGGGATAGGAAAATAAGGTTTGTTGGTGGCCTGTACCCCGGTCCATGGTGAAAAAGCAGGCAGTGTTGATGATGACCACTGGTCACCACCCTGGCCTCATGGGGTAGCTCTTGAGGGCACCCGGTTAGCCCAGTTGGTACATGTGTATCATGCTAGACTACGGAGCAGATGGTCATGGTTTGAATGTCAGAATGGGTGTTCTTGAACTAGACTAGAGTCATTTTGCTGTGTTTTCGAGCCCCTCTGCCCATTAGGCTTGGTCCTACCTGTGTAAGTTGGAGATTCCTCCAGGCTCACTCATGGTTGTCCGTGACTTTGCCAGGAAATTTTCTCCGTCTAGCTGACCAGGTGCTGGGACGGGTTTGTTTTTCTGTGAAAAATGTTCATTTGTTGTTGTTGTTACAACACAAGAAAAGGTGGAACAAATGTTGAGTGAGCCGTCGACCGTTACCATCATGTATGTATGTGTCTAGCTACCACTTTTCCCCATATATTGTCAGTATTGCAGTTGTATTCCTCCAAGTCATGTAATGTTTCCATAATGATGCCATGCTGAAATGTTTGGGTTTTTCTGCATACATAAGTTGTCATTGTGTGTATGATATTGCTGCTTGCTGTTCGATTCTTTTGTCACTCTTATCTTTGTGTCTACTTAGTTTGGTCTCATTTTCTTTGCACATGTTTTGAATGTTAATTCATTTGACTAGATTGTGACCTTCGTACGAGTTGGTCTATTGTCATGTTAGTCCTGTGTAAATCCCAAACACTTTGATAATGTCCAGGTCAGTTTTGGGTACGGTGGCCTCGTCAATGAATGTTTAGTTTGTACATAGCCATCTCATCTTATGCTTTTGGGTGGGGCCTGTGGGTAGGGAAGGAATGCAGATCCCTGTTTAACAATGATCAATTGGCCAATTATGATGCAGAGATTTGCTTCGTTTTGGATGTCCTTGGCCAGGGTCATTCCTTGAAAAGTGGCAAATGTGACGCGGAGATGGTGTCCTGCCGAAAAAAATCTTCAGTGATCTAGCCTTTTTTGTTAGATATAAATCTTCCTCTAACAAAAACTACAGAACTGAAGAATGGCTTTATCATCTGCTTGAAATGTTGTTTTTCCAGCAGTGGATCATCCATGTGTAACGTTGGTCACCTTTTGTGGAAAAGGCCTGTCGTGTTTGTGGGTTCTGTGAGTTGGTGGAGCAGCAGACATCTCTCTCTGTCTGTGTGTCTGTCTGTCTGTCTGTTTCTGTCTGTCTGTCTGCTGTTGCTGTTGGTAAGCTGGGCGTGAGGCCACCAAGCTGTAGAGATGGCCTGTTGTTTGTTACTGTTACCATTATTGTCACCCATGGGTATTTGTACAAAGTTGTAAAGCGCCTCTTACAGACATTCGTTTTCCATTTTGGGCCATCCAATTGAAAGTAACTCATTTAACACAGGGATGAAAGATAACCTGCTGAAAAAATATCTCAGCAACGGTAGAGCCAGTCCGGATTTTTTTTTAGATAAGAGGAAGGTTGTATCTGACCAAAAAGAGTAAAGAATGGCTCAATCAGTGCTTAGAATTTGTTGAGGCCATCCCCTCTGTGCTGTGTGTGTTACTTTCCTTGGAATGACCGTTTCTGTCTAGATTCATCATGTCATCATGTATCTCACCTCCTTCAACCAAGTCCTTGTACAAAAATTATATATATAAAACATGAACAATTTTTAGAAATACCAGAGAAGATTCTTGTGTTGGTCGCTCTGCGGTATTATTGTTTTGTACAAGTGTGTGCTACCGTTCCAGAGTTGAAGAAAACTTAACAGGAAGAGAATCAAAGTCAATGGCTTCGTTCACGCAGTCAGCTCATTGCCATACACATCTAGATCTTCATGTACCAAGAGACACAAGCTTTTTACCTTTTCTTCTTTCTTAGTTTCGATATGTTACAGTTTTTGGGGAAGGGTAGGCTTCGTTTTAGGTTTCAATTGAATTTTGATCAAATTGTTGTAAGTAAGGAATTTATTTTGTGTCTGTTATGGATGCTCTGATTCTGACTTGGTGAGATGTGCAATTGTTATGCATGCAGTACAAAGTTGATTCCTATATATATACATAAATGTTACATACGCCACTATTTATTTTTTAATCTTTAGGGTTTTCTGTGAACAGCAACTTTTCCTTGGCCCACACAACTGAAAAATGATCAAGAGCACAAAGCTTTTCATGGCTTGTGTGTTGGGGGGGGGGGGCACTCGATTGGCTCAGCGTGTAGGACTAGATGACTAGAACAGGTGGAAGGGACTGTTGTGAACAGGCGACTGTGGTGTAGAGGTTACGCACTTGGCTGTCCCACGCAGGAGACTCGAGTTGGATTCCCAAATAGAGAAAAGATTTTTTATCAAGTATCGGTCTTTCTGCTGGGATGTTGTAAGGTTCATGAGCCTCAGGTCAGCTGTTGGTTTTTGTGGTATATTGAAGAACACATTCTAATGGGAGGTTGTGTGTCTTGTTCAGGGTAGAGGGAAGAAAGAAAAGCTTGTGAAGAACTAGGGTGACTTGAAGTTAAACACAGGGGGGGGGGGGGG